TATGCGTATAAAGCATAAACTACACTAACCACGGTTTTATGTTATTGAGGAACAAATAAAAATGAACATAACTACAAAGTTAAAGCCTGCAGTAAAGGAGGTTATATGTGAAACCTTAATGTAATAAAATGAAAACTTTTAACCAGTTGATAATTTCCTTCAAGCGACTAATAAGCATGACTTAAACCAGCTGAAGAAAAGGATGAAACCCCACATTGCAATATCAAATTTTACTGTCACTTGAAAAAAATGCTAGAAAAAATATTGCCATTTAGACTCTGCATTGGAAATTAAGTTAAATAACCAAAGACACATGATCATCTCAAGAATTCCAAACCAGATTTGAATTGGTTTTTACCTAAGACTAACACACTGCAGTGTCCTTAAGTTTGTTTCTACCCATCCTGACTCCCAACCATATCCAGATTTTTCAGATTTCAAATTGCCGTTTGAAGGTCTAGTAAACAATTAAACTCGACTCATTTCCTTAAATACATACAAAATAATTAAAGTATGAATTAAAACTCACAGTCAAGCTGGCATGAAGCTTCAATCACCTTAATTAGAAGCACAACATACTCTAAGAAGCAGCATAAGAGAAGAAGAAATGAAAGGAGATTACCTTGACATAAGTGTAATCAAGCTGAATAGCTCGCCGGCAATCCTCTTCCACTTTCAACCAATCACTGCGTGATACCAATAACCAAATGAAACCAGAAAAGGAGACACGTTCAAAACCCTTTTTCCCCTTAAAAACATTTTTGTGTAAAATTACTTATAAAAGGATTGAATACATACTTCCGCTTGCGATGGCAAAGAGCGCGATTCGTCCAATATACAGGAACATTAGGGCATAAAGTAATCGCCTTTAACCCCCAAAAAACAGAGAATTAAGGAAATTAACTGATAAGCAGTAACAAATTAATAAAAAGGGGAAAGGTTTTAAACCTCAGTATACGCATCAATTGCAGCCCCGAAACGATCTTTCTTAAAATAAATGTTGCCGTCTTTCCTCAGTTGCTCAGCTTGTTTGGCTGCCGTCGTCAATGCGGAACCTGACACCATTTTCTTCTCTGTCTTTCCTCGATAAGTATTCTGTTCACCGTAAAGCGTTAATCTACGAGTATTGAAGATCGTTTCAGGTGAAAGCAACCTTAAAACGCAGAACCTCGCCAGTTTTTCACTTTTTTTGGTTAAAGTACACAAATAATCCCCTTACTATACAAGGCTTCTTTTTTCAGTCATCAACTATTAAAAGTTACAAAATGATCCCCGACTATAGGGCACTGCTTTGCTGAGTCCTTCGACTATTAAAATTTATAAAATGATCTCGTGACTATTCATATGTTCTAAACTCATCATTTTATGTTAAAAATTTGGCGTTCGTCTGAGTTAGAAGTTAACTCGTTGACTGAGATGCGATAAAATCTGATCTCAAAATCGCTTGAGTTGTATTTTATGCATCAACGCTCCGTTTACATTTTGATGTCTAGCCACTGTTTAAAATATTATATCATTAAGCTAGTTCTTGAAGCAACGACAATGTTAGTAGACATCATTAAAATATGATTTATCATATCCCAATAAGCAGGTTAACGTCCAACTAAAATGGTCGTCAATTTTTAATGAAAAAAGCCGAACTTGGAATATATGAATAGTTGGGTAACCATTTTATAACTAATAATAGTCAAGAGATTTAATAAAATATCACCCTTTAGTCAATGAACCATTTTATAATTTTTAATAATCGATAACTCAACAAAACAATCCTTACAGTTATTATTATTATTATGTGAGGTTATAGTGTAACCTGTCGTGGATGCACTTTTCTCACAGCCGAATATGATTGGATGATACATAATTTAACATTTTTCGTTAATTTAGGTTTACTAAAAGATAATTCTTGTTCAAGGTAACTTTTAACCACTTGATATTAAATAAAATAATTATATTTACTATTTAAAATTAAGAGTGAAGTATATAAATAGTCTCTGAACTTTTAAGGTGCTTACATTTTGATCACCCAACTTTTGAAACTTGCAATACAGTCATTAAACTTTTAGTTCATTTTCATTTTTGTCCCTATCGTTATCTCCCGTTAGTTTTTGATGACGTGGCACTTACCTCCATTAACTTTTCTGACGTGGCAACTTCTTCTTCCTCCTCGTCTGCTTTTTCTTATTCTTCCTTCTTTTTTCTTCTTCTTCAAAGCAATCATCTTCAGCTTCAAACCCGATTCCAAAATCGACCCAACATGCAAGAGGGATGGGAGATAACAATTACCAAGCTGCAAAGACGTCAAGGTTAGGTTTGAAGCACATCGAAGCCAAGATCGTTAAAGGAGGTTGAAGGTGGTAGCTTCTTCTTCTTCCACATTCAACTTTTTGTTGTGATAATTACCTGAGCATTTGATTTATCTCCCATGAAAAGGTGTTTTAGGTAGTGCAATTTCTTTAGTAATTTAATAAAATTATTATTCTTATGGATGATTAAATAGGGTAACTTAATTGACTTTGCCTTGCAATTCCTTTTGGCGAACTGCCCTCATTGTTTAATATGGGTATTATAGATGGCTTTCATTGAAAGTTTTATGCTTTATTCTGCAAAAATTTTAACTAATAGCTTAATATATGTTTTTGAAAGAAAAAAATTGTTAGCTTCTTCTATTTACTAGAGGAGTTTGATATCTGTGAATAATTTGTCATTTTTCTTCGAGTACATGACCCAACAGGAAGATTGTGAAGCTGACAGGGTTTTTCATGATCTATTGCACTTATTGTATTTTGATCTTCTTGGTTATTTGGTAATTTTGTGGTTGAAGTAGCTGTTTTCAAAGTTTCTATGTTCTAAGGAGGTAGTTCTGCGAGCTCTTCAATGGCGAATTTGGCTTTTTTTTGATAAGTCAATCCATAGCTTTACTAGGGCGATTGTAGCCGAGTCGGTCCTGGACATCGTAGAACTGGAAGGGGTGTGCACCGAGAGACGAACGCGACGATCTCGAGGACTTTTAACGGTGCCAACTTTGTTGTGGCGATCTTTCCTTGTAGTTGACCTAACAATGCAACCTCTTTGAACACCAATGATCTCGCCCCCACCCTGCTTCAAACCCAACCTCGACGTTTTTGCAGCTTGGTAATTACTATCTCCATCCTTCCTGCATGTTGGGTCGATTTTGGAATCGGGTTTTGAAGCTGAAGATGATTGCTTTGAAGATGAAGAAGAAGAAAGAATGAAGAAGAAATAAGAAAGAAGAAAGAAGGAAGAAGAAAGAAGGAAGAAGAAAGAAGGAGGAAGAAAGAAGGAGGAAGGAAGAAGAAAGAAGGAAGAAGGAAGAAGGAAGAAGGAAGAAGGAAGAAGGAAGAAGAGGAGGAAGAATAAGCTACCACGTCAGTGAAAACTAACGGAAGGTAACGGTAGGGACCAAAATAAAAACAAACTAAAAATTTGATGACTGTATTGCAAGTTTCAAAAGTTGGGTGACCAAAATGCAAGTGCCCTAAAAGTTCAAGGACTATTTATATAGTTTACCCTAAAATTAATTATGTTTTTATTATTTAATTATTTTAAGTAAAATAATGTATAATTAAACAAGACAGATGAAACCTATATCTAAACTTTAAAAAAAAACATTTTAAAATCAAATACTAGCCCGACACTTGAAAGCAAAAACAATCTTTTTCTCAATATTTATTTCATTTTGATAAGCTTTGCTTTGTGGTTTTTTATGTTTCATTTGAACATTATGGATAAGGTGCGTTGACTAAAACATACTTTAGGGAAGCAATACCATATATATAAAATGAGAGAATACAATATAGAGAGGAGAAGATAATGTTACGATGATTATAAGGATATTTATGTTCAGAATCTTTCTTAATTATTGATTATGTATATAAATTTTGCGGACATAACTATTTGAACTTAAGATCTTTTAAAAATAATATTCATTTTAATAACTGAAATTACCTGATGAATTTATATATAATTTGAAATTTAAATTATGCTTTTATAAGTTTACAATATTACAATATATGATGAATGTTTATATATATACTTTTTTTGAGAATATAAAAATTAGAATGCAATTGATATATTTAGTAGTAGTAGTAGTAGTATTCGTATAACTCTATAAGGGGTAGACATAATATGATTGAGGAAGGAAAGAAGTAATTGATTAATTTTTACATAGGTGCAATGTATACCCATTCTTACCTCAAAATATCACAAAATCTAAACAAGGTATTTTCTTTCACGGTTAATAAATTACTTGACTTAATATCGGAATTAATTTTATTAGTATGAGCAAATTTGATTTTGATACCAATCGAACGTAACATTCAATATTCATTTGACACGAATTAACACGAATATTGAATGTTATATTATTCATTGAAATGACCCGAAACATAACGTTACTAAAACATGCTCTTGTTTTTTCTTTTTATTACTCAAATCCAACCATGATATAATAAAAATATTTAGTCATATCTAACTTAAAATGACCGATGAACAAATTCTTTAAACAATCAACACATTCGAACCGCCCCGAGATATCATCCACAATATATACACTAGTCAGACAGCTTAGGACGTCAGAAATGCAATAGAGTTAGAATGGTAGGTGTGTTTGCAAAGATGTATTATTGTTCAACCAAAACCCATAGCTGTAACAAATTAAAAGATTTCAACTTAACGATTTATTACCACCAAAATTTATTTATTTTCCCAACATACTAATTTATATACAATTATATATAACTATTATTTATTATGTATCTTCTACATAGTCCAAACTACCAAAATTCAAATGATTAAATAAGCAGAAAAAACACTGATTGAGGGAGTTTCGAAAAAGATAAAACTTATAGTCCATTCAATTCTTGCAACGCCGTCTCCCATCTAGGTAGGCTACTACGCCCTATAAAAGGAGATCCTCATCAACACATGCATCAAAACATCGTAGGCAGGATCCCATATAGTAAGAAACTCCATAGCTACAGAGTTAGAGTTTTAAAACCTGCTACTTATGGCAAAGTACTGCAATGTTGTGCTTATTCTTGCTCTAGCAGTGGTGGTTCAAGCTACTGCAAGGAACGTGCCTAACGACGCTGCCGGTCTCAATGACCAAAAGAACTTCCTCACATACGGTGGTGTTGGCGGCTACTCTGGCATTGGAGCGAACGGCATGCCAATTGGTGGTGTAGGGAGTGCCGGTGGCATCACTGGCCTTGACAGTACAGGTCCAATTATTGGCGGCGTAGCAGGCGTTGGATATGGAGGTGGTGCTGGAGCCGGAGTTGGAGGTGATGCCGGTGCTGGCATTCCAAGTACGCCTGGTGTCATCCATTTTCCTTGAACTTTGCTGGGGGTTTAAATTTCAAAGCTGCTAGTTTATCTTTTGCTCTAGAGTGTGTGTCATGATTAAGGTTGTAGTAATGTTTGTTGTGTTGTGTTATGTACTTTATTTTCTTATGCAATGTCATATGTTTTTGGGTAGTTATATTCTACGTCGATCTAATTTAAGATTAATTTACGATGAGTTTTAATTTAAAATGTTATCATGTCTAACCTAAAAAATTATGCAATTGATAATAATTTCGGTTACAACCGATAATGTTACATTGCGGTGGGTTTTAACTTAAAATGTTACTTAACTATTCTAAAAAGTTACACAATTGATAATAATTTCAGTTGCAACCTAGAATGTTTGGACAATAATTTTTTAGGTTACAACCGGGATAGTTATGCAATTTTTTAGAACTTTACAATTCAATCATCTAAAGTTAGTTTGTAACGATGATGTTCTTGGCCATGTCTAAATTGACTTTGGAGAAGACGATTAAGTCATTTACGAATAGGAAGTGGGGTATCCTCATATTAGAAGAACCGACCAAGACACCTTCAATCAGACCAGCATCAGACGTTTTGCTTAGCAGCCCGCTCAAAGCTTCACCCACTAAATTGAAGAGGTGGGGGGACAGGGGGCAACCTTGGCGAAGCCCTTTCTTGATGTTAAATTAGCTAGATGGGGCACCATTAAAAAGGACAGATATTGACACGGTCGAGATGCAAATTTCGATCCAAGTACGCCATATTTTACCAAGCCCCAATTTTTTCAAGATGAATTCAAAAAAATCCCAATCAACTGAGTCAAACGCCTTGCTGAAATCAACTTTGAAGTTAATGTTTCTATTTCCTTCAAAACAAATATATATCAAAAGTTACAAACTTACTTTAGGGGATTTAAAAGATAACATAAAACAAGTTTTCACGATTTCTAATTCGAATGATTGATTTTTTTAGAATCGATCCTTTTAACAAATGGATTGATCATTCAAGCTAACGGGTCAATCTTTTTCATTCTAATAATCAAGGGATCCGTCCCCCCAAAGGATTTCATTTAGATTATGCATAATTGAGCTAGTAATTTAATTACTAATTATTTATAAAATTAATGAACATACTTGTAACATCAAAATCATGCCAAAATGTTTGAGCCTTGTGGCCTTAAAAGAAGATTATTGGAGATGTATTTTGCTTGAGCCTGAATTGTTGAATTTGGATTATTAATGTGAAAATGTTTTTTTAGAATGATTATAATGTAATATATGTTAAAAAAAATTTAACTAATTAACAGCGTACACACATCTTACAGATATAGCTGCTTGAACCCAAGACTGTTAAAAATAACAATACTCTCTTTAATCGCTAAAATAACTTTGTGGGTTCACATAAAAAAATGTTTATTTGGGTTTATATTTAAGAGTTGACCCATAATTGTTGATTTCAAAGTTTGAGAAATTTCATGGCTATTGGCATTGCTGGAATTCGGTCTAATTTGGGTCATCATGACCTTATGTTTTGTTAGGCTTTGGCCTTATGATTAATTCATGACATCAATTTAATTAAATATTATTGTAGTTCAACCCTTGAGGTCCTTCAAAGACAGATGAATGGGCACTTTTGTAACTCCGCTACTCAATCTATTGCTTTCGTCCAACCAGCATTAAAATTAGTAAATTTATAAAATTTTAAAGGAAACGAAATCATATTAACAATAAAAGTATAAAATAATACCTAAATTATATGAAATTTTGAAATTTTCAAGAGAGACAATCGTACCCGTCCCCTCGGTCCATCCATGGGTATGGATGCTTGGGGACCTCTTTGCTTCAATTTACCACACTTCTTTTCTATCCTTCTCTCTCATTTATCCTTCATATATACTGACCTAATACTTCATGTATGTCACCTTCTAAACTTTTCTTTCCATAACCAAACTAGGCACAATGTCCAACATTAAACAAATCCATTCACTTCTGCTACTCTTCACTCTACTCCTTGCTGCACACGTAATACAAGGTCATAATCCCCTTATCTTCATTTATGAATATGTTCTTAAATTGTAGTATAAAACAGTGATTTTCTTCCATTTTTGCAGGATCTAGAACTCAAGTATTGTTTCCTTTCCAACAGGGGGCCTCTCATTTGCAGGTAAAAGTATTCCCATTTTCTCATTACAAATCCCTGCAAATCCTTTACTTGTTTTTATCCCATTACAGGCCAGCAGCAGTGAAGCAGAAACGAAGAGGAGAATGATGATTGGATCCACATGGCCTACATGCACTTATAATGAATGTAGAGGATGCAAACACAGATGTACAGCTGAGCAAGTTCCAGTTGAAGGGAACGACCCGATGAATAGTGCGTATCACTACAAATGCGTTTGCCATAGCTCATAAATCTACTGAGTTGTGAGTTTGAGTTTGACCGGTTTAAAACAAGAAGATATTAGAAACTAGATTTCCTACTAAAGATGTGGATTGTGAGGAGTGGTGTCCAGTTTAGCTGTTCTGCTTTCCCTTTGTATTTGGCTATGGTGCAATCTTCTTGGAGGGAAATTGTATCATTAAGCTTATTTGTATATATATCTGTGTGTTCTATCAGGATAATTTTATATTATTCTTAATAATTTAAAATTTTCATTTAGAATTTTCTTAGCGTGTTCTTCTGGGGCGAAACTAAAAATTTATCAAAAGGAGAATCAAAGTATTTTTATATTTTTCAAAAATATAATCTTCTTCAATTGAGGGTTGGTAGAACTTATTTTATTTATTTCCCAGAAATATATTTTTTCTAGTATTAATTAACAGTAAAAAATTAATTGGCTGGGACCAAGGTTTCTACTAGTCCCTGCAAAGGTCCTGCCCTGATGTTGACAACACGTATACACCATGTAAATACAGATACTTAAACTCGAATCCTCAGGGAGGACAACATTCTATTTTACCACTGAGATCATTCAACAGTTCCACAATTATCTAAATAATTATATCTATGAATAATGCTTACAATTATTCAATTATATATCTATAATTTTTAATTAATAATTAACGGATACAATTTTTAATAACTAAAAGACTTAGCTCTTGAAACAATAATAACATTTTTAATTTTAGCTACTGAAACATCAATTGCATAAATGAATGTCTATGGGGATTGAACTTAGTAACGGAAAACATTTTAATTAGTAGAAGACGTCGTTATTACATAATTATACAAATTTAAATTTTAAAATAATATTAATTAAATTAAAATTTTAATTTATTATTTTTATTGAAATAACTCTGATATATATTTTCCTAGACCTAAAATATATATGAGGGACATTTTTTTTATTGAAATACACCTTTAATTTTTTTTACATATGAAACATTAAGTATAAAATTTTAATTTCATTTTTATAAGAAAATTTATATTTTATCTGTAATCCTAATATTATATATAATGTTTAAATATAATGTTTTATAATGCAAATTAAAATAGTGAAATTCCGCTTTCCCACTGCTCAGCTTATTAAAGGCTTTTTATTTAAAAGAAGCTTTTTTTATATATATATTTTGATTAAACAGCATAAATAAAAATATTTCAACCCACTAATTTCATAACTTTTATTTTAATATTTCACCCATTAACTATATTATTGACTTAGTCCTTAAATCAAAATTATCAATAAATAAGCAACGTTGAAATCACTTGTCAACCTTAAAATTTAAAATTTCCTCTCAACCAAGACTGAAGGTTGAGGAAGTGCCAAGGTCAGGCATTAATGAAGAAACAGAAAGAGAGAAACACGGGAATGGGTGCATGGATCTGAGAAAATTATTACATTTGGACGTAAAACAAAAGATTGAATGGACCCTTTGAAAATCTTATCATCCTCAAGGATCAATCTTCATCAATGGAGGACACCATGAAAATGAAAGCTGAATTCTCCTTACTACAAGGACATTGTCCCTGGGAAAACCAGCAAATGTTGATATTCAGAAATGGTGACCCATCGAAAACGTTGAGGGTGGCAACTGGCCACAGCTTGTATTCCACAACAATCCTCAAATCATTATAGTTTCAGGGATAAATAAGAACGATCATCAATGAAAATTTTAAATTTCATATAATTTATGTATTTTTATTGATATTCTAGTTTCATTCTCCTAAAATTTTATAAACTCTTCGCCTAATTTAAATTTTACATTCACCCATGATTTCAAAAGAGATCATTCATTTGTATCAAAGAAAGAGAGATTATTATTAACATTAATTGATGTAATATACAGAGATTTAAATAATAATTAGTTTAAAAAAGACAGATGGATTAAAGTCTCTCTCGTTTTAGTTTCGTCCTTGAAAATAAAAGTGACAATGGAATTGGATATTGTAAATTTGTAACAATGAAATTAAAATCAAAGATAAAATGTGTGTTTAGATTCAACCACAACAGCTATCATAAAGTGAATTATAGAAAGAAGAAAAAATAATTATTACATATTTTATTTTAAATGTATATTAAAAAATTCAACCTACTTAATATATATATATAATAAAAATTTATTAAATAGTTTCTGTCAAATAAAACTTTTATTACTAAACACTTAAAACTTTTTTTGTTGTTGAAAATAACACTTAAAACTTGATTAATATATGTAATAATATTTTTAATTTTAATTTTAATATTCATATGGTTATTTTTTAATTATTTTATAATAATAAAATTTAAACTAGATAGTGATCAGTGTAGTTCTGAAATTACTATGTTCTAGCAGACTAGCAGTTAAACTAGAAGCATCCTAAATTTAAATACCGTTACTATCTTAGCAAAGTCTCGAAGTTCAAGTCTTACGTCCATTCCATGCAAGTAGTGTGTCATCAATCCCAAACAAAGTTTTGGGAGACCTAAAATGCAGACTACAATTTGCCTCAAAGCCCTACATGTAGATCCAGCGGAGCATTCAAAATAGAACCTAGACTTACTATATACACATGCAGTCGCTAAACCGGAACTCGAGCGATTGTACTAGACTTGAACTCGAACAAGCTATTTTTTGCCAAAGTACGAAAACAGTGTTGGTTGCTTATCACCACCACTCTTGATGTTTCCCTTTTTCTTCGCGGGACTTGCTTCAATTTCTTCTTTAGATGGCTTTGTATCGGCTGAGAACTCCTCGTAATCACTCTTTGTTTGGATCTTACCTACATCCCTGAATGAAAGTGCGGGAACATTTGACTTTGAATCATGGTTCCCCTTATCTGTTGAGGATGGAAGCTCATCATCTGTGCTTTTAGGTTCCTTCTAAGTTCTTCGGCGAATTTGTTTTGACGGATTCATTGCACAAACTTCGGTTCATATTTGATTCTTGTTCCTTTTTAACTTCCCTTGTTGAGAAAAACTTTGAGATCAAATTATTTTCTTGTGTCTTCAATGGTACCTACAAACATAGTTGAAGGTGTTGTACAATGTTGAAATTTTTATCCATGGTGTTGTATCTAGACCAATGATCTGCACTGTGAGCTGTTGAATCCCCAGACTATGAAACCAAATAACATAAATTCCAACATGCCCTACCTCTTTAACACACTCGGGTCCTTCGAAAGACAGTTTACCAATTGCAGGGGTCACCGGATACCATACCTGAGTTGAATTTTAGCACGTAAGGAAAAAAAAACTCGTAACTTTATTATCGTTAAAAATATCTAAAAGGCAGACGTATCATTGTAATTACTCAGATTAACAAGGCTCTCACCAAATCTGGATTTTCATATGGTTTAAGCAATGTATCAATTTTAGAACCATCTAGCCACGAATCCGTTGATCCCTTGTCACCCAAAATTACAGGCATCCTGTCTACACAGAGACATTAATTGAATGTGTTAGTTTAAGACTCCTTAAATTTGGCTATGATGGGAATGGCTGGAATATCTAATTATTCGAGAACAATATCAAGGGAAACAGATAAACAAGGCCATAAATAACGCTGGAATAGTAACCTGCATCTCAAAAATGATCTGAGAAAACAGTTTTCATCATGTACTGGTTACTGGCATTTTAGTAGCTCAGCATAATCAAAAGACTCAGCATATGCAAATCTCACGTACTTAATATGATTCCTAGGAGTATGAGATCAGATAAATCTCTTATCATCAAACTAGAATTATATACTTGAGCCTTTTCACTCACCATGTCATTAACAGATCTTAAAGTTGCCACATTATTGTGGATGAGTCATAAGCATATTCGTCTATGGTCCCCAATTAGGTGATGGATACATCCAAGAAAAAAGCTAGGAGGTGATGGTAACTAAATGAAATAAATTATGAACACATAGAAAGAAAACATGTTCCTATAACTTAATAATACTTCCCATTAATTGCTTATCCTAATGTTGACATATTGATTTAGAAAGAAAAAAATCGAGTACATAACTTCACAGCTCTCACTCACTGTGACAAACCTTAACATAAAATTATAATCCTAAAAGTGGACCACCTCATATTTATTAAAGTAAAACAGAACCTATAACTGTAGAGATTATTAATACTGCAATGCTGAAACTAGCAATTAAAACAATTAAAGTAGAATGACTCACCATGAAGCCACTGCAAAGTTGATGAAGCAGAAGTAGTAAGAATAATAAAAGAGTAAAGTTTCTCACCTGTAGGATGAAATACGCTAATGTGTCATTTGCTCAAATGGATTATAATTTTAAGAGAAAAATACCAAATCTTGGATCTTAACAGAAGAGTTATTCATTAATTAACTAATTTAGATCCGTATAACCCAAAGTAAATAATTGGTTCATATGAGTAAAGCAGGGACCCATAATATAGTACATGTAAATCAACTAGGAGTAGAGAAATTTAATTACTGCACATTCTAAATATGTGAATCTGAATAAAGGACGTCACCTTCAGTGTTCTCCCAAGAATCATAAAGAGCAGCAAAAACTAGAGGCCTACCATCCTCAAAATGAATGTAGTGAGGCTGCTTTCTCGACCCATCTTTCTTCCACTCATAGAACCTGAATGTATAAAAAAGATAGAAACAATGGAGACAATGACATGAAGAATGAAAGAGAGTGATTATCGTAAGATTTCCTATACAGATACAAGAAATGAACCTAAAAAATAGAGCAACTCAAATGGAAAAAACAGCACCACAATAATTGTTCATCAAGATATCATAAACAGAAATTCTATCCTCTAAAATCTACTATTGATTCTTAGTTTTATCGCATTTTCAGGCTTGAGCTATAGCATCTTCATATATATATGCGCTTCAAAATTTGATTTTTCACAGCATAAGACAAGTGCAGCAACAGAATATGTGAATTTTTCTACAAGGAAAATATACCATCCTTGGTTCCATACCCTTCAACTGTCACCACACACTGGCTTTTAGGAAGGAGGCGTCGAAAAGAAGCCTTTTCAGATACCGACTCGGATCGAGCATTGACCTGTGGATTTGCAAAACTGCCAACATTAGAAAAGGTTTTCCCAATTTATGATGTCAAAACTTATATATATGTGTGTGTGTGTGTGTGTATAACTGTGTTTCGTTAAAGCTGGTAGAGATTTTGGAGCTAGGATGGGATTGTCAAGTCAAAATTAACTTGAACTGCAGTAATGGTCCTATAATTTACATAAGCTACCGAAGATTTTGTTGAACATGTTTATACGGCAAATTTTTGGTTGTTTCTTTTATACTTCTTGAAAGGCACTGAAAACTAAAAGAAGAATCATATTTGATTGAAATGAGTAAAATACTAAGATATAACATACATTCAATCACATTTATTTCTTCAAAATGAATGCCCTAAATAGGGAAAATAAACTGCCAATAGATTAAAAAATGGATTTAGACTGAAGACTATACAAAGTTGAACACACTGCTTGGAATAAAGGAAGCTTAAATAAAAGGATTACCATCTTGAAAAAGTCCGGCTTGTCGGTGTTCTTATTGAAACTAGGAATTAGTCCCCATTTCATGCAGTGAAGAACAAAACCTGCTCCGTCTGTATTAGATCCATCGTCTCGTCGAACAACAGGCAAATTCGTTCCCGGGCCAGCATTATACGAAGGACGGTACCTATATGATTTTTCAAATCAAATTCCAAAACCGAGCAAAATAAAAATAAAAAAAGACAGACGCACGAAAGGTGGAGAGAAAAATATCTAAAATACTGATATGGATTAACTGTACCGGTCCATGTTAACATGGCGGGTCGGGCCATTGTTGCGATGGCAAGCTCTGGGGATTTCATCGGCGCGAAGCGTACAACGAGCTCTTCCGCACATCTCCTTTTGCTTTGAATCGAGTTTTGTAAAAACAAATGGTAAAGTATAGTAATGGTCACTTAACTTTTCTTAAAATTTCATTTAGGTCCAAACAACTTTAAAACTTGCAATACAGTCCCCTAACTTTTAAAACTTGCAATACGGTCCCCCAACATTTAGTCTGTTTGCAATATGGTGCCCCAACATTTAGTCTGTTTGCAATATGGTCCCCGACGTAACTGTTGGGGGACCATATTGAAAACGGACTAAATGTTGAGGACTGTATTGCAAGTTTTAAAAGTTGAGGAACCTAAATGAAAGCTTTAAAAAAGTTTAATGACCATTATTATACTTTACCCTATTTTTAATTGAATTAAGTTGAAATAGTTAGTGTTAATTTATTGATATAATAAAATTTATTAAGGGTTATTAAAGATTAATTGTTTATCTTTTCTTTTCATGAAAAAAACAAGTTTTATTTTTTGATTTATGTAGTATTGATATGAATCTGGTTAAATTTAAGAATTATTTTTGATAAATTAAAATTAATATAATATTTTCAATTTTCCATTGTTTGTGTGTGTATATATATATATACATATATTTAAATATACACTTATTAAGTGATTAAAGATAAATTATACGTAGGTATGCCGTCGGCGGCGACCTGCTCGTGCTCGCTATGACAGAGAACCAGGAACTACTGAAAATATTCGATACATACCACATTTGCTCTAATGTTTACACAAAATAACTTCTGAAATAAGACCTCATAATATTGATGAAAACTCCATGCATTTGCTCAAACGCAAAAGAGGGTCTCAAAACATTATAGAATGGCATTTCTGTTCCACTGTAAACAAGACTAACCAAATGCACGCTGCCAGTGTAAATTATGGCATGCCCTTAGCTCATTTACATTTATCGAAGTTGCACCATTTACCTCGGTAGCAAATCACTAGAGAACCCCTTAAAACAATGATTTTCAACACTTGGCCTTCAAAATTTGGAATCTATAATGTCTGTTACAAGATCATTAGCCTCAAAACTAATGCAGGAATCATCCCATTTTCAAGATATTGATGAATACAAATATGCACAAAACTTATCACTTGGAGAAAGCAATTGCCTTAAACAATAGTACTTAAATCCATATAACATACAAAATAGTTGACAACACAAATAAGGGAATGAGATTTGCTAGATATTTGCAGAATATCCAAATCAAAACATGCATCATCAAATCCACTACATATATATGTCTCACCTTCAAATATGAGTGAAGAAGATTGCTCAAATACAGGATATTTGATAAACCTTTGTTCATGTAAATGATTGAAATGGTCATGATGAGCGCCAAACTTGAGACCAGGCCCTGGATCATACACCATTTTCCATGCCACGTCGCCGAAATCATAGCATATTATCTTACCATCAGCCCATATCACAACCTTTGCCTCATTTTTTTCTTGGATCCAACAAAACTCACACCGGAGAACCCGGGTGCAAACGGGAAACACCCCAAGTTCAACTCTGGGAAAACCTTCATGGCATCACCGAGATTCAGACGATGCTTCAAGAACCAATGTGAATAATCGCTTGACATCTGATGGACATTCAAGCCCAAAGCAATGTAAACATGGTATGTCACTGCAAGATGTAAATTCCCATTGATCTCTCCAAAATACCTATGAATCTCAAGCTGATGGTGATCACTTGATGGCGTTGGCATCTGCATTATCTGAAAACTTCCCTTCTCATCATCGAAATACAGCAATTCGTTTCCGCAACTATTCCAATGAAGCTTACCATTACAGAAGACTGCGTCCTCAAAGGCCATGCGTTCATCGTCGGCCTTGAAATTGAATTCGGATACTTTCCAACAATTAGTTTCGGACGCATATATATCCATCTCAAACTCATAAGAATTTACTGACACTTCCCGAACAACGATGATCTTATAATGAGGAGATTTCAGAGTATCAAAAGCCAAACTAACATAAAAATCACAAGCTTTAAAAGGGTTTCTAGGAAAAGATAGCTTCTTAAATTTCTTCGTAGTCGGATTGCAGATGAAATAGCCGGAAACAGAATCGTCCTCATCATCATTATCATCATAATCCAGGGATTATAAAAGAAACAATCCATTACAAGATTGAATCAAGTCGAAGTTAGAGCTCGATATATAATCAAAGAAAGGGACTTTACTGTAATGTCTCAAAGGAACCACGTCGAATTAAGGCGACCACATGTACTGTACTTTCAGCAAAAGAGCAGTAGGCTCGAGAAATCGATCATCATCTCGGTGTTGGTGGCGAGTGTGGGAGAGACAGAACTGAGGGTCTGAAATGAGAGAGAGCCATTGTTTGGAGACACACTTGAACTTGAGGAGGGATTTGGTGGGTAACCTGAGGAGGAGTTGGGTTAACAAATCATGGTTGTTGCCGATCTCTTCTGCAGATCTGTTCATCAATTTAGGCTTCATTGTTGAGATCAGACTGAAACTTTCTAGAAACCCCAATTCTTTGAACAACACTTTTAAAAGAGTAAAGTACCTAAACAATCATTAACTTATGATTCAATGATTCTGTTTTACTATAAAAAAAATTAAATTTTTAAATAATTATTAAATTATTATAAAATCTCTTCACCAAAAAATTAGGGTAAAGTATTGTAATGGTCACTGAACTTTTCTAAATATTTCATTTAGGTCCACAAACTTTTAAAACTTACAATACAGTCCCTAAACATTTAATCCGTTTGTAATATGGTATCTGACGTAAATATTGGAGGACCATATTATAAACGGACTAAATGTTAGGAACTGTATTGAAAATTTTAAAAGTTTAGAGACCTAAATAAAATCTTTAAAAAAATTCAGTGATCATTACTATACTTTACCCAAACAAATAGCGAACTAATGAATTATTGCTTTTTTTTTTTAATTTTATGGGCGGCAAGCAAGAGCGGGAGTACGTTTTTTTTCCTTCTTTTTTGTACTTCGAGTTGGAAAAATCTTGTCCGACCGTTGGATCTCAGAATGCTTGGAGATCGGTGCTTCTAGTCTTTTCAAATTTCCTAATTCTTTCACTAGTTTATTTGGGCCTACGATGAGATTATTTTTGGTGAGATTGACAAATATCAACGATAATAAAATTAAATATTATAGTGGTAAGATTAAAATTAATTGTGAAATATGTGTTTAGATGTAAATGTTACATCTTAAAGTTTGGATTAAAAGTTTTGAATAAAAACCAAACTAGTTTTTTTAATTAAATCTTAAATTTTAAGGTTAATAATCTTTAGAGAATGCGGTTAAAAGATTTTAGTTGTTACCTAGGTTGTGAGTTTAATATCTGTTATGAATAAAATTCTCATTCCCCTTCTTCCTAGGTACAAATTGTTCAAAAAAAATTAATTTTGGGTTGAATTATAAATTTAATGAATTCAAGGGTTAAATGAAAAGTTAAGGGGTTTCATATATGAGTCTTAAGAATTTGGGTACTAAATTAAGCTTCATGTGAAAATAGGGGATAAAAATTAGAATTCCTAAAAGTTTAAGGGTTAATTCACAATTTTTAAAACAATACTAAAAGTTGTTGGATGTCAGATTGCAAACACTAGAAACCTTAAGGCTTTTTTCCGCACATTATCCATTATTTTAAAACATGTATGTAATTGTGTTTTTCTGCAATTGAGGATGAACCGGAAACACCTGCTCTCCGTTCACGAGTCGGGAGACGATGGTGCTGTGTCGGTGAATGTCTCTGTCGTCGTCGCGGAAAGATCTGCCCTCGTGCATCCTCGGGAAGCAGAGACAGTTCTTGGCCTGAAGGATCGATCCCAAACTTACTGTTTTGCATAGGATCCACTCCCCGTTAAAATGGATTGATCCCTTTTCCAAAAAGATCGATCCTTTCGCTGTAAAACACGATAGAAAATCGGTAATTAGGCTTTTATCTGAAACATGACAACCTTAATTTTCAGCAGGACGTGCATGGAGACCTTCAAGCATGCAAAGTACATCAGCACACCACAGCTCGCAGGGACGTCACCTCCTTGAAAAATGACCATAATACCCTTATTACTTTCAAACTTTGTTATTAAATCCAACATCAACAGTTTTCATTTAAATCCCTGAACTTTCCATCTTTTCTGAAAAACTAATAATCAACGGAAAAGGCTACTGTCATTAAATTTTCCGAGTTACCGAAGGAAGCTTATTTATCATTTTTTTAATAAATAAATACAATTTTAGGGTTTTTATCGTCCGATTTTAATCCATAATTCGATCAATCAACGAGGTGCCGATAATTTAAACATGAAACAGAAGCCTCAAGTTTTCTCTCAATTCTTCGCTCATGGATATGTACAACAAATTTTACCTGAAAAATTAAAACTCAGAGACTGATAATCCTCGGATACATGACTGACCAGAAAATCAGCTATGACACTTCCTTTTATTGCTTTTTGGAGGGATTGAATAATCAGTATCTTCTATACTCATTGCACATACTCATACTTTTTAGACAAATTTTTTATATTATTTCCTGTTTTTAACCTTTTTTTTAATTCAACCTTTAAAGGTTTGGCCGACTTCAGCAATACAAGATGAAGACGCTTTCCAAAAAGAAAAAAAATTTATTAAAAATGTTTTCACGTAATGCGTTTTTACTGAAAAAAAGAGCCAATATGAGAAATAATTTGAAATTGGTTTTATTTTTTATATTAATTTCTTATTATATTTGGATCAAAAACCTATTGTATTGACTCTGTCGCATCATATGTATAACCAAACCCCATCACAAGGAACCCAACAATTATATGTTTGAAACTTATTAGTTAAGGTTGAGTAACAAGACCGAGAATATTAAAAAATCGATCTAGATTAAATTAGACAATTCAATTTGGTTTTGATTTTTCATTTGGTGATTCAGTATTAATATTTTTATAATTTGTTCCAAATTAAATCAAATTTTAAAAAATTAATGATCAAAATCAAGTTCATTTTAAATTTGTTATAAGATAAATTTAAAAAATAAACTCTTGAAAATGATTCTTTTGAATTAAACTCGTGAGTTTGCACTTGGTTTAAGCTTGAAGTTTGCTTTTATGGATGTTGAATTTGAAAATAGTGTGTTAGGATTAATGGAGCTCAAAGAACAATTGAAAAAGTGCCAAGAGTGAATGAATTAACCTTTTGAAAATCTTTGGGTATGGAGGAGAAATGATAGGAAAATTTGCACAATGATTTATAGTTATTCAACTTCTAAATCAGGTCTACATCCACTACCTCAGCTCCACACTAAGGATTTTCTAACAAATTCACTAATTTGTTTTTTCTTTTTTACGCTCAAAAGTAACATTTACAATCTCCTTTGTTTTTAAAAGACTAAACTAGAACCACTCCCCTTTTACAAATGATAAGAAATGTAAATAAGAAAACATCACAAAGATATGTGCTTACAATAATTAAACTCACTAAAAAGATAATTAAAAGATTTACAATGAGCTAAAACACATATGTACAAGACAAAAGGGGGGGGGAAAGTGAAAAGGGTTTTTCTCTTGATCTTTATTTCTTGGATAGGTGTTGTAACCTTCTTCAAGTGTCCTTGGAGTGTTTTTATGGTGTGGAATGAGTTTCTAGTCGTTTATGACTTTTGGAGATGAGTTATAACCATTAGAAGCTTTCAAATGCGCATTTAAGGCTATCTGTGCAGGTAGTTTCGAAACTTTGGGGACAATATCAAAACTCTTAAACATACTATTTTTGAAAGTTTTGAAACTCGTACTTAAAAATATGACCATTGAAGAAAATCATACCGTTGAAGCTGTTTCAAGGGGCAAAGTTTCGAAACTTTATCAAAAGTTTCTAAACTCACTGTTCACGGACAATACATGTATGTATGTATGATGAATAGTGACAAATAGTGATTGAATAGTATTTTTCATATTTTAAAGGCTTCAAACATTTCAAACATATTTTAATTAACTCATCCTATGTGTTACGACTAGATTTAGAGGATTACAATAAAAATTTCCAAAACATATTCCAAACAATCTTCGATAATTTAAATCCTCGTTATAAATAACATCTTTAACAAACATAGTTAATAACGATAAAAATCCAACAAGTAAATATTAAACCGTAAGTGATTGTGTAAAATAAAATATGTCATAATCCGTATCGCAGTAAATCTAACATCAGTAACAAAAGCAGTAATCGTCATAAAAATAAGTATTTCAAAATATAGGCACATGTCACCGTAAATGAGAGCAGTTCGAAAAATAAAAACATTACAACAAAATGTTCTGTACGAATGTGTTGATCCTCTAAGTGTCATGTCCGGGGTGCCTATCCAAATGTATCTAAAAGGGGGGGAAAGTTTGAAAAGGTAAGCTAGGGAACTCAATGTGTTCTAATGGTACAAGTAAAACATAATGGGTAAAATAACAAAGAAATAATCCAGTAAAGTATCATAAAAGTCATAGTAAGTTTAAATTCTAACACTCATAATTACCCTTCTCCCGTACACCAAAATGCAGTTCTTCATAATTGCATCCATAAGGGCTTACCTTATGCTCATTGGGTATAAAAACCAACCTAAAGGAACATCTTGGGGCTTGAGAGCCTACCCAAGGGTCGCCATAGGTTCATAAGTAATTACCAGCTTGATCAGAGTTAAACCTCGATACTCTAGTATCCTACCCAAAATAGTATCTCAATAAAACAATTCACATAGTAAACAGTGAACTCAATGATCCATAAATCGACATAATCATATCTTCCAGTGAAAATAAGTAATCAAATAACATATATCAGATAACCATGGTTCATAAACAGTCAAGTTGTAAATCAGTAAATCAATAATTTTGGTAAATCACATTTCAAAACAGATAAAACAATCATATATCACATAGGGAACACACCTGACAAAATGGATCAGTCGACAGTCTACTAAGCACCTGCCTCGCCACGCTTTACAGTAGTGCTCGAACCTAATTCATAAATAACTGAGTTAATATTGAAGTAAAATTTTATTCTAGGTATTCATAGGGTTCACAGGTCATACGAGTAATCACTGGCTTATGAGGTCGAACTGATCGAGAGGAGCTAGGTCGAGCTGTCAAACGGTCGAGAAAGTCTCGAGTACCTTTAAAATAACAATATCTTAGATCAGTCGTTAACAACATAGTGAACAATTAAAATTTGCATATATATATATATATATATATATATTATTTTGATGTCATCCAGTTTCGATTTTATTTTAGAAGTGTGATTCAGTTCATCTTTTATTAAAAAATTGAATAGGATCAAACTGAATACACTTATATTATCATCCATGATCTATTTATTAAAAGTTAAAGTTTTATGATTAAGATTAAATTATAGTGTAAAGTACAAGTGGTCCCCTAATAATAGGATGCTACTTTGTTAAGTTTCCCTGCTATTAAAAGTCATAAATGGTCTCCAAACTA